AAGATAATGGTTGTAATTACATAAAATAATAGTAAATGTAATTTTAAAAACATTTTCCAAAACTTATCAAAGAAATTAAAATATAAAAATTATGTTAGATATACAAGTATATACGAAATACTTTTTATTCATATGTCATTTTACGTCTTATTAAGGGTTTATAATAAGCAGTTAAGTCACCAACATTTTAATCCGCTAATCAGATTTAAAAATTACTCAAGGATAGCCACAACTCACAAGGGAGAAACTGAAGACTAAACAGCCAAAGTAACAATTCATTATAACTAAGATAATCAGAGCACCAACACTTGAATTGCTCAGCAGTTAAAGGTTTTCATTTGAATACTCCGTATAAAAGAGTTTTTTCTACTTTTAGTTCTCCGACTATTATGTCATTGACATTTTTGGTACTCGACTTTGAGTTTTTAGTCTGCTAAAGACACTTTTGGTACCCGTCTGTGAAAATTTCCATATTTAGTCCATAAAGTGACATTTTTGTCTTTCAACTATTATAATAGTGACATTTTTAGTCCTCCACTTATTGTGTGAAAATCACAATGAGAGGACCAAAAGTGTCAATTTGACATTACTTAGAGACTAAATGTGGGAAACCTTAAAGTCGGGGATTAAAAGTGTCTCTAGCACAATAGTCGAGGACTAAAAATGGAAAAGTTAGAAGTCGAGTACCAAAAATGTCATTGACATAATAGTCGGGAGACAAAAAATGACAAAGACTCCCGTATAAAATAATATGTTAATGCCTTAGATCGTCACCAGCAGTAAATGAGTTCAACCAAATAAGATATAGGAGGTGTTTGGTTAGTGGCCTATCAGTCATTTTTTGGCTGATTTGACTGATTTTGGCCTTTTGACCAGCTCAATCAGCTAATTAGGATGTTTAGTTAAATGGCTTTTCTATTTAGCTTTTTGTTCCAAACAGCCAACATTCTAAACGCCACTAACCTTAGCGTTTTGGGCATGACTGTTTCTATTACAATCTTGTTTTCCTATTTTATCCGTAGTTATTGATTCTTTTTCCGATAAACTATTTCTCGTCTGCCATAATAATCAAAATCACACTTGTCGGTAGTTTAATGATCACCATGGGCCATAATAGTAGTTGACAATTTGACTTCTATTTACCTCACATTTATATAAGAATTTTTTATCCTAGAAAAATCATTTTAATAAATAATAACTCAAACATAAACCTTAGGCGACTTAACAAACGAAAGACTAGTGACCTCAAAACAAAAATTAAAGACTAGAGACGGTAGTGTTTAACAAATTAAACATTTGTATAAGGAATTTTGCTCATAACTAAATTAAAAATACTAATTCAATTTATTATTTCGTGAAAAAGTTTAAAATAATTATTATTTGTGTTAATACATTTTATTATTTTTAACTCATACGAACGGTTTAGTAAAAAAACTCATTAAAATGGTTTACGTAGTTGTGCTAATTACATTAATAAAAAATTAATCCATGTCCTTAATAGTCATTTACTAAGTTATTAGATGATTGTAAACAGCAATTTAACCGAACACTATTTTACAAACGGCTAATCTCATCAGCTAACCAAAACAGCCAACGGGATCCGCTGTCATCAAACCGCTAACACAACCAGCTAATTGCCAAACACCTCCATACTCCGTATATAAATAGACAGAAATGGAATCACCTTCTAATAAATAAATAAATAAAAAATCTTTACATTACACTATAAATAGGAAAAAAGAAAATGGAATGGACATCAAGTCCTGGAAATTAGTTCTTTTTGTCTTGGAGATCTGAGGAAGTACCTTAGAGTGAGAAGTGGAAGACGAGCGAAGAGTTGTATGATAGCAGCAAAACAACTTGAGCGTACCGAGGATTCGGATACAGGCCGAAAGAGAAAAGAACCTCAAGTATGAATTTTCCATGAAATGGCTCATGACTTTGAGAGAACGTGATTGCGAAAGCAAGCAACTACCAACGACTGGGGAGTTGAAATTTGTTTTCTAAGGGGTGGAAAGCTACAAGTGACCGGGTAATTTGTTTTTCCCCTTTCAACAATTATTGGACACATTTGGTTAGGGTTGGATCCGAACAACCTAAAAACGAATCAAATTTAATCGAATTGAAACCAAATAAAATCGAATTGCAAAAAAATTAAAATCATATTTAAAAAAATTGAACCGAACCGTACTTGTTTGATTCAGTTTTGGTTTTAACCCTTCAAAATCGAACCGAACCAAACTAACCGAACTAATTAAAATATGACATTTTATTTATCAATTGTTAAGCATTAATCCTAATTAATTCTAATATCATCGATTATCTTTGTTTTCTTGTGCTAGAGAAATAATGTTTTTGTTAGGTTTAGTTTAGTTTAATTTATTATAAATGCATTTACACATTCATTGCATATATTAATCTAGCCACCATATTCAGTACATAATTTAGCTAATTGTAAATTTTATATTTTCGGAATCATATATAATTTAATGTGATGCAAAAGCAAAATAAAGTCAGTCTAATATAAAGCCGTTTGATAATACTAAAATTGGTCGAATTGTCTGACTTTATTATAAAGAATTAAATCTAACTGTTTGGGCTAAATTGACGGAATCTCCCAACAACAACAACAACAACAACATCCAAGCCTTAGTCCCAAAAGATATTGACGGAATCTCCCAAATTATGAAAAAGCAAAATACAATATACTATGTATCATGTATATAATTAATAAAATAAATTAAAATTTTTATGAAAAATATTTAAAATGGACTTCTACATAAGCATCTCAGCTAAACGTAATTATTATGAACCGAATTTTAAAGAATTCACTCAATAGTTTCTTAATTAATTTCACATCCTTTATATTACTTCATTAAGCATCTCAAAACACTATTTTTAAAAATATTTTTCATTCAGCATGGTATGAAATAAGTTTTGGTAAATTTTATTAATGATATCTTACATTTTACTCATTATTTCGTCACATTGAAAATGTAAAAAAAAAAGATCATTTTTACAATTTACTCATTAATAAGAATGTTTTTAATTAGATTGACATTTTCAGTTCTAATTTGGTTTGAAGTAATACAGTGTGGAAGATGTCTATTTTATGTATGTATGTATAATAATAATAATAATAATAATAATAATAATAATAATAATAATAATAATAATAATAATAATAATAATAATAATAATAATAATAATAATTATAATTATTGTGATTGATGTTTGATCCGATCTTGTCTGAGACTGAAATCGGTCCAATTAAAAACATCCTAAATGTATGAAGATTTCCTAATTTGGATTAGGAATCTGTTTCGAAAGTGAAGGAATATTTAAATTGTAGTTGTAAAAATAAAGAAACAACTAAACATATTTACTTTTTTGCCTGGGCTAAACGTATTTACTTGTGAAAGTATATACATTTATATGTATGATATGAACTTTCATCCTAATAAAGGTAAGCTACTTGATCAGAAGTTTCAAGTTTTAAATGTTTTCATATATGAACGTCTAATAGTATATCAATTTCATTTTAAGTTAAAAGATGCAGCAAAATACGAAGTATTAACGCAATTGCAATTCTAAGGCTTATAATTTTAGTAATTTCTAAGCAAGCAAGCAAGCAAGCAAGCAAGCAAGCAAGCAAGTAAGTAAGTAAGTAAGTATATATATATATATATATTGATTATGAGGGTGTTTGGAACTAATTCAGCTTCTTTTTGAAAGCAGAAGCAGAATCAGAATCAGTTTTCAGAAGCTGGTTTCCCTTAGCTTCTAAAAAAACAGATTCTGGGAGTATATTAGAGCACCAAAATCACTTCTTCACTTTCACCCAAACACTCCAATTTCTGCTTCTGCTCTCTGAAGGAGCAGAAGCAGTTTTAAGAATCAGATTCAAACACCCCCTATGTCTTTTATATATGTATGTATGTTGCAATTTGTTGCATTATGATGATGATGATATGTTTTTACTGGTTATTAGTAGAAATAACTTTTGTTTTTACGAGACTTAAAGTTTTTATATTGATAAAATAAATAAATATTCATCTCAATTATATCACAAAAAAAGTATATATTCTTGATTTTTTCCCAAACTAGTCTCAAACAATGTAAATTAAGAATATGTACACTTTTATGTCTCCCGCATACTCATATAATTCAAGACATATTTATTTTTCTTCTAATTTTTATTTTATTTGTTCTAGTATGCTTGCATTTTTTTTATGTAATATGTTTGATACCTCCAACTCTTATATAAATTTTAAATCAAATGGCCAGTTTTAGTAAAAACCAAAACAAAAAAAAAACGAAACCGAACAAATCAGACTGTGGTTCCAAGTTTTGAAATGTAAAACCGAACCGAAACAAACTTTTTACTTTCGTTTCGTATTTGGTTTTTTGGTCAAAACCGAACAGAAAGAAACGAACCTATTACTACATTTGCACATTTATACATAATTGTTTATGTACACAGACAATTATTGCATGAGCTACATGTGTATGCTATGAACTAGGGGGTGTACTATGCAATGAACTAAGGGGTGTACATATTGTCTCTGTGCGCCGATTATTACGTAAATATGTGTGTGAAATGTGTACAAATTTCGCGTACAAATAGAATTTTACTTTGTTCTTTTCCCTATAAAATTGGTGCGAATCTAGTACAAAATGATATTATCGTGCAAACATTTGTTCGGTGCATCTTTATGTTGTTTGTTTTGCACATTAATGTTTAAAATATTGCATATTACTCTGCGATGAAATAAATGGTTGCATATTAATGATAAGTGTTGCATTCGAAAAAAGTTCAATTTTATTACCAAAATGCTACTATGCGTGTTCAGCCATTAGATCTTTCAAATGATGGGCCGAGATTAGTTTGTATTTTGGAAATTAGTAGCACTTTGTATTGGATCCTTTATCTACATGTGTGTGTATTCTATGGAGATATATATACATATTGTTTCGAAATAATAAAATTTTATTAGAGGAGGAAACTGTACCATCAAGGAATAATGACACAAATTATACTAGAGATATAGACAAAAGTGAGATGAACATTTAACTTGGATAAAAAGGAAAGCATTTAATCATAAACGAACAAAAGCCCATTAGCATCAACAGGTTAAAGAGAGTAAGACAAGGTTTCATGTTAGAGAATGCCATGAACTACCATGGAGAGCATGTATTTTCACACGATCAAATGATCACCTGGAACTACTTTCAAAGAGAATGCATCCAAAACTAGACCACAACCATAATTGATGTTCCCAAACAGCACTTTCTCAGAACATCTCAGTAAAAGTTAGGGCCTTGGCATGTTGGCACCAGTAAATAATGTAAACATGCTACCTTCCATGCTATCATAGTTTCTTAGTTTCTCATTCTGCAGATTCCCAGCAAGAGCTAGCACAAAAAGTTCTACCTTTCCATCCCTGCAATATCCAATGACCATCTTCTGAAAACAGAAACTCTTTGCGATACCTTGCCTCCGCCTTGTCTCTTAAATCCTTCACAAGCTCCGGGCTAACGGGCATAGGCTTTAGCCCAGCTCTCATATTACGCAAATGCCACTGCTTGTATGTTTCAGGCCTATATAATCTTTCCATGCCCTCGCAAGCTACGATACTCATTATTTCACATGCCCTGGATTCTTCAATACTCAACCTCTGAGGATCATCACCGGGTAAAGTAGCATCATACATATCAAAGTTTGCAGCGTAGAAATAGAGAGCTTCTCGGAACCGAGTAAAAAAGAAAGGAGAGTTGTGGGCTGCGCTTAGAACTGATTGCACATAAATTTTTGGATTTATTTTGCGGATTAAGTTTAGAACTGCACCCTTGGGGAAATCCGGAGTATCAAAATCAACAACTGTTTCATCATGTAGGTTTTCGAATCGATACAAACAGTTAATAGCAACAATCTCACCAGTCACAAGCTTTAAATCCTCAAGTTTAACTGTCTCCCAACTTTGAGTTGTTATGGCATTGTACTTAAATGGTACTCCAAATCGTGCACAATATTTTGTCAAAAAACAACCAGTCTCTTGTACCATTTCTTCTGGACGAAAACCAGGTTGGGGAAGCTCAATTCCAGTTATTCGAAGTTTAGGAGGTCCTCCAGGTCTTTGTGAGAGATTTTTTATAAGAAGGGGCCACTGGAAACCATAAAGAATACCAAAATCTATTATGTGCAGTGATTTACTTTCCAAAGCTACTTCATAAATCATTGTATTTGCAAAGACAAATGATGTTCTCGTGATTGGAAAGGATGAAATGTAAGTGTCATAGGTTTTTATCATTCCAGAAGCTGTGATCTTATTTGAAGCTAGCGCCGCATATTGTTGTGCGCCAGTTCCATCCATCCGTGCCTGAAGAGCATTTGCAAAAGCATGACTCAGCCTTTGATTTGCATCACCGGTTGGCAAAGAGTACTGCCTAATCTTCTTTAACTTTTCTTCTGCAATCCTATGATCAGCTTCAGCAATAGACTGTGCACAGCTGGTTAAAAGAGACTCTATATCCACATTTTCACAAGCCCCTCCTTGTTTCTTTGAATATCCCTTCCCACGACCTCGCCCTTTCTGTTGGGTGCTCTTCTCAACTACAGATGGAGGATCCATATTATTGGAGAACAGAAAAATCTTATCAAACAACTCTACTAACTCAAGCACCTCATCCTCCCCATAAACTGCAGATTGCTTACTGCTTCTTTCTTCCTCTAACCCGACATCACCTCGGTGTTGGTGCTTCTTTCCTCTAGAGGAATCAGATGAATGCCCCTTCTCTATATTGAAAAGCAACTGATTTCCGGAAGGAAAATACCTACTTGCTTCCTCTACACCTCTCCTGAATTGCAAGATGGACTCAGTATCATTAAACACATTTGGACCCAACACAACAGTTTCAGAAGTGTCCATTTTGGTATTCACTATACTATTCAAGCGATATGAAGAACTAAATAGTCCGGTACTATAATCACCGGAGCACCCAAATGTGCTGTCCAGGCTCCCAGATTTATTGTTAACAAAAAGAGGTACTTGATAAGGCACTGAAGGGTTTTGATGAAGGGCATCATAAAAGACATTCTCAACAGCTCTGAGGGAATTAGGGTCATAAAACAAGCAGGGATAATTATTCTCATCAATGTTACTATCATCCACTAGCATCTGGCTAATGTACTTGAGTGCGGGACCAGAGTCGTGATCATTTCGGGAGTCCAAAGTAGGAGCATGTGTCATAGAAGTGGCATCCTTATGGCTGTCTGGAATGTCTTGTGATTCTTTTAACGTAGAAAGAATGATCTCATTTTCCAACTGGCATTCGGTCGCAGAGGAGTCGGGAAACCTGTTGAACCTAGGATCCATAACCCTGAATGTGAAGAAACCTATGGAAAGATGGGTAAACAAACAAACAAACAGCATGAGCAATAGTTAACTGAAGAAATAGTTAATAGGGAGTATGTTCAATGACCAATCTTATGTTGTGTAACAACAGATATAATGATTCAATCGTAAACTGTAATAAAGTAACATCCATGAATGCTTATTCCACTGTTAACAAAGAGGGCTGAAATTGATATAGTTGGGGGAAAGCCACTAAAAGTACAAGGACTAAGGAGAGACTATAATTGCTATGGAAATATACACGAAGGTGTATAAAGAGTAACTTACCCTTTTTTAGATTTATAAATTACTCAAGAATAGTCACAAGGGTGAAACTGAAAAGGAAACAGCCAAAGTAAAGTATCCATTCATGATAAAACAATCAGAGCAGCAACGTTCCAACACTTGAAATGCTCAGCACTCAGCAGTAAAAGGTGTTCATTTTGATTATTTTTTATTCAATTTTTCCTTTTTTCATTAGATATAAAATGACATGTTAGCCTTAGATCGTCACTATACATGGATTATAAACAGACAAAAATGGAATCAGCTTCTAACAAAAAATTCATTACAATACACAATATATAAGAATAAGAAAATCGAATGTACATAAAAAGTTCTGGAAACTTGTTTTAATATTTTTAAATATGAGCACGTAACTTAGACGGAGAAGTGGGATATGATCGAAGAGTATCAAGTACGGAGTATGATAGTAGTAATTGATAAGCAAAACAGCTTTAAGTATAAGGAGAAAAAAGTATGATAGCAACAGCTCATGACTTGACTTGAGAAAGCTGAAATTAAGGGTCTCATTAACGGCGTAAGTTACCAAATACCAATACGAATATACCTTACAACTTTTGGATGTCATCTCAATTTTCAAGAGTGTAATATTTTTGAATTTTTCTTTGATGGTCTTAATTTTTCTTTTTGAGGATATCCCATTAAGATTGTCTCATACAATTGTAGGATGTGTTTTGAAAAACAAAGAAAATTAATCAATAAAATTAATTAAATAAAATAACTTAAAGAAAAACAAGAAATGAGATGAAGCAGAATAAGCCAAAGCTCGTGCTACGCACGATTTCCTTAAAACGTATTCGTTGCCTCCCGGGGTGCTAGGAGCGTTGCAACGATCGTTTCCCAGGATACGATGACTACGAACAATAGTTTAGCACTCAAACTAAAGTTCCAACGAATGTGAACAAAGGCTGAACACAGAAGGAAGGATTTGGAGGTGTGTTATAATGGAGGTTTAATGGATATGAACGTTGGTAATCAATGTCCAGCTCGTTGGCATTGATTCGTCTAGAAAACCGTCCATTTATTGCAAGGGAACGTTGGGCATGTATGGCGTTGTAACGGCCCAGCAGCCGCCTGTTGTGGACTTTCAACATACATGGAGCAGCGGCCTGAGCAGTAGCCTGCTGCGGAGCCAACTGCTCGCACGGAGCAGTGGCCTGCTCCACTCCAACCTGGAGCAAAAATTAGGAAATAACTGGAGGAACAAAAATTAATGTTTATCTTTAGAAGGTCGCCCGCGCACACAAGTCGGACTTTTTGTTCTCCGGTTTCGGGATTTGATTCACACCCCTCCTTGCGCGCGTGGAGAGAGCCTTTACCCTAATGAATCTTAACTCCTTAAGGGGAGTTTCCCTTTATAAAGGGTTCAAATTCCCTTGGGTTTTCCAGTGTGGGAAAACCACACTAGAAACCCATCATTTTCCTAGTTTTCTCCATTCCAACGAGTGAACTTCAAGAATCAATTTCTCATTCACCCGTTATCCGTTTTGAGCGTACCATATATCGAATTGTAGCCCTAAGCAAGGACAATCCGGAACCAATTTGACCCAACCCAAATCGGAAGTGGACCCCACTCAAAAAATTGCCCCAAAATGACCATTTAATGCAATTTACTGACACATTTTCCAACAACAATTTGATAAAGTTTGTGTGACTATAAATCTTTCTTGTTTTATCAATTCAAAATCAACAAAATAAAGTTGTGTCATCTCTTCATGTTTCAATGTTAGTGGGATGAAATAGTATTTCGTATTTCCAGCTTTGGCTTTAAAAAATTCAAATATAGTGTTTTTAAATTTTAAATGTGTAATTCTGTTTAGATTAAGGGAGTGAGTGTTTGGTATACAACCTATCACCTATTTTTTGAAGATTGACTCTGACTTTGTCAAACAACTATTGGTAAGGTTTGGTAAGCACTAAGCAGGAGTGAGTTTTTGATATACAAATCAACAGATATGTTTTGAATTTTTGGATTGACTTTGAATTTGAAAAAACTGCTTTGAATAGCTTATCACGACTTTTTCATTTTATATTTAAGTGCCTAATATACCCTCTACTTTTCCTCATTATTAATCAAATATTTAATAATTATTTATAAATAAGTATAATTTGAAATTTGTCGGGTGTGTTTCGGAAAATAAAGAAAATTAATTAAAATAAATTAATTAAATAAAATGACTAAAGAAAACAAGAAATGAAATGGAGCAGAATTTAGCCAAAGCTCGTGCTACGCACGATGTCCTTAAAACGTATTTGCTGCCTCCCACGGTGCTAGGAGCGTTGCAACAATCGTTTCCCAGGATACGATGACTACGAACTAATGTTTGAGCACACAAACAAAAGTTCCAGCGAACGAGAACAAAGTATGAACACTTAGGAAATTTTCGGAATGCTGGAGGTGTTTTAGAGCTCAGAAATAGTGGGGAATGTGTATGAACGTGTAAGAACTTGTGTTGTTGCAAACCACCTGCCAACCATTATATAGGAGGATTTGTTGTGTATAAATGGTGAATTAATGAACCTGAACGTTGGACATCAATGACTAGTCCGTTGGGCATTGATTCGTCTATAAACTGTCCATTTAACGCTGCATTAAATTACCCGAAGAGTCTACTTCAATATGCCCTATATCATTTATATCCCACCAACGTTATCTTTTCATTTTTAACTTTTAAATTTTCAATTTCATTTTCTTATTTCACTTTTAGCCAATTTTCCCTGCCTAGAGCTAAGCAGGGATTTCCGATCGTCAAAAATTCAGGAAGGTCCGTCGGAGCGAACACAAAGAGTTGTGAGCGACATCCGGTCCGGAGGAGCTCGAGCGACACCAACCTGCGGAGGAGCTGGTTCGATCTTCCATATTTCTTCTTCCGCTCACTCTTCGCTCGCGCATCCCCTCTGTGGCTATGTGAAGCATCGACGCCAACTCGCCGGTCGCTTGATAACTTCGTCGGATAGCCGCACAGCTCCGCTCCTAGCAGACGAACGAATTCCTCCAACCCTCCTTAATTCGTCTGTCATCTCCACATTCGGCTTAATTTCTAACCTTGTAAGTTTCTAACCTAATTTTTTCAAAGTTAATCTCAAATTTATACTGTCAATTTGTAAACTTGTAATTCCAAAGCCTGGAGTTGGTTAGGCTAGGTTTACTTGTTTGTTTTGTTCACTCATGAATACGATTTGGTGCTTAGAACCTTCAAAGAATTGAATGACATTTGACGTGTTTGATTTTATTAATCTGATTCAGGAAACTATGAATTTATGTTAACTTCATTTTGATATGCTAGATATTAATGAATGTGGCCGATTTCATATGTATGTAAATATGATTAGTTATGAGGGGCCAACTCCATGCACCACCATGAATTTCACATTCAGAGAAAAAGTGAATTAGCGGGTCACAACTGTATCAAGCACCAGTTCATTGAGAGCGTCTTAATGAAGTGTCTCCGGCACAACAGGACAATCCAGGGGGGACGTTTTGAACTAAATAATAATAATAATAATAATAATAATAATAATAATAATAATAATAATAATAATAATAATAATAATAATAATAATAATAATAATAATAATAATAATAATAATAATAATAATAATAATAATAATAATAATAATAATAATAATAATAATAATAATAATAATAATAATAATAATAATAATAATAATAATAATAATAATAATAATAATAATAATAATAATAATAATAATAATAATAATAATAATATTAATAATAATAATAATAATAATAAATAATATAATAATAATAATAATAATAATAATAATAATAATAATAATAATAATAATAATAATAATAATAATAATAATAATAATAATAATAATAATAATAATAATAATAATAATAATAATAATAATAATAATAATAATAATAATAATAATAATAATAATAATAATAATAATAATAATAATAATAATAATAATAATAATAATAATAATAATAATAATAATAATAATAATAATAATAATAATAATAATAATAATAATAATAATAATAATAATAATAATAATAATAATAATAATAATAATAATAATAATAATAATAATAATAATAATAATAATAATAATAATAATAATAATAATAATAATAATAATAATAATAATAATAATAATATAATAATAATAATAATAATAATAATAATAATAATAATAATAATAATAATAATATTAATAATAATAATAATAATAATAATAATAATAATAATAATAATAATAATAATAATAATAATAATAATAATAATAATAATAATAATAATAATAATAATAATAATAATAATAATAATAATAATAATAATAATAATAATAATAATAATAATAATAATAATAATAATAATAATAATAATAATAATAATAATAATAATAATAATAATAATAATAATAATAATAATAATAATAATAATAATAATAATAATATAATAATAATAATAATAATAATAATAATAATAATAATAATAATAATAATAATAATAATAATAATAATAATAATAATAATAATAATAATAATAATAATAATAATAATAATAATAATAATAATAATAATAATAATAATAATAATAATAATAATAATAATAATAATAATAATAATAATAATAATAATAATAATAATAATAATAATAATAATAATAATAATAATAATAATAATAATAATAATAATAATAATAATAATAATAATAATAATAATAATAATGATAATAATAATGATAATAATAATAATAATAATAATAATAATAATAATAATAATAATAATAATAATAATAATGATAATAATAATGATAATGATAATGATAATAATAATAATAATAATAATAATAATAATAATAATAATAATAATAATAATAATAATAATAATAATAATAATAATAATAATAATAATAATAATAATAATAATAATAATAATAATAATAATAATAATAATAATAATAATAATAATAATAATAATAATAATAATAATAATAATAATAATAATAATAACAATAACAATAACAATAACAATAACAATAACAATAACAATAACAATAACAATAATAACAATAATAACAGTAATAACAGTAATAAAAGTAATAATAATAATAATTTACATGCATTAAGGGTCGAAGTTTCTGTTCCTTTGCAGTTAGGTAAACATGAACCAGAACTTAAGAGAAGGAAGCATCCTGAATTTTAGGTTGCCTCTTGACATGTTGAGATATGATCAATGATATACAAATGTGAAGTGTAAGTATACTGGGAGGAGGATAAATATGGCTCTAGATTAGTGTTGTAAGGTATAAGATACTAATTGTCGAAAGCAAATTCAAATTATTTGATCTGTATAGCTAGTTGGGGTAGCTATTAGGTTAAAGGTGTTCTATGGTCTGGA